GGGGCCCAGCCCTAGCTCAGTTCTTTAAGTGGCTGCTTCCACAATGCTGGCAGCCTCAGTTTGCTGTAGTTCGATCCCCACAACACTCCAGCCATGCCAAAGTGCCCTGAAGGCATTCAAGGAGAAAAAAAAAAAAAAAATTCCTTATTCCAGCACTGGGGAGACCAAGACAAGAGGATCACCATGAGTTTGAGGCCCACACGGGCTAAACGGTGAGTTTAAGGCCAACCTGAACTTCACAGTGAGACTTTGTCTCTCAAGGAAAAGGACAAGGGATGGAGCTCCCTGGTGGAAGGCTTGCCTAACAAGCTCCTGGATTTAATCTGTAATACAACCAACAGAACAAAAAGAAAAACCTATTTGTACTCTCACTCTTATTTTACATAAACAAAGTTTTTGAGATATACAAAATCAAGACAACATAACTCAGAATCCAATTTCATTCTAGTAATAAGGAAGGATATCTGAAATATTTTTAAAAATTCTCTAGAAAAGTCTTATAGGATGGGCTGGGGAGATAGCTCAGTGGCATAAATGCCTGTCTGGCAAGCCCAAAGTCCTGAGTTCAATCTCTGGTACCACACACACGCACGCACACACACACACACACACACACACACACACACACGACTTATTGGAAGTTCAATGAAAAAATTTTAAGGGATTCGGAACAACTCAGTAGTAGTGCTGCGTAAGGCCATGGATTTGAGCCCCTGAACCAAAGCAAAGAACAAAAAAATTTATAAAATAAAACTAACATACTAAGTATGGGAAAAAAGTCATCATTAGCCACTGCATTAACTTTGTGTGAAGCACTAAAATAGATACAGTAAGGATTTTTTCTCAATTAGACTGTACATAAGTCATGTTAGGAATTTTTATTCTTATTTTATAAACAAGTTCCTAAAATTCAGGAAGGTTAAATAACTTTGTGTGTGTTATAAAAGAGTATTGTTAGGCTTCCTTTTGCTGGTAAGAATTGAGAGAAATCTAGCCCCCAAAACTTAAGCTCATAGACCTTTAAAAAAACGAAATGCATGAAATTCAGGCCCTTTACTAGTTTAGTGTTCAGTTTGGTCTCTGTGACTGGGTAAGCCTATGATGGACAAAACCCACATGTGCTATCACTGACATTTAGGACCTGCCACAAGTGTCTACAGTGCTGAGTCTCAATATCCTCACCTAAAACCAGGGAGGATAATAGTACCCACTTTCCAGCACTATTAAATAACGGGTACATTTGAAGAAATACAAGCATTTACCAGGCATAGTAAATGCAATAAAAATTACTAAGAATGCATTAAGGTAACTTTGCGCATATAAATATCTAGCCACCTGATCACTTGATTAGGATAAATTCCTGAAAGTACAGTAAATGTCTCACAGTATGTATTTATTCTTTTTACTTTGAACATTTTAAAAAGGCAACTGTATTTTACCTAATGATTTTTCAAATAAGAGCACCTAGTTTATATTAGAGGAGGTGCTCACCTTTTGGGGCGAGGAAGGCCCATTGGAGTAAGATTAGGATCTGGTTTAGGAATGGTTTTCCGGATGCGAATCTGTGAGACTTTCTTTGGCCTCTTCTCTGGCTCGGCCTGTTTTTAAGGGTTAAAAAGAAAGATGGTCAAGGTATGAGACATGATAAATTGAGTCTCTCTTCACACTCCAGACATTGCTTTCTAAGTTCACAGAGTTCTAATAAATATGGGTCTGACTCCCAGCCCTGTAAGACAGGGATGTGTTTCTTCTGTTGTTGTTTTAGCAGTGCTCTTGGCACAGCTGGCAGCACATCAGTTTCATCAACTAACACACAGCTCTAAGAGAGCTCTCCCTCTTACCCCTGCTTCTGGCAACTCCGTATTACTGAAAGAGGATTACATTTAGTTCAGATATTGGTATCATTAATATGAAAGTCTGTAACTTGGGGAGAAAGCAGATGTTGCAAAACTGAAGAATACTATTCTTCACTCATCTTCTTTGAATGCACAAAGCTGCTCTTTGGTCCATGTGTCTATAAACATTGTTAAATGCTGTCACCAAGAAAAAAAAGATACGGAAAATAATTCAGATTAAAAATTTCAGGTGCTGCCGGGGAGATGGCTCAGTGGAATAAGTGCTTCCCTGGCAAGTGCAAGGGCCTGAGTTCAATCCCCGGTTCCGAGAAAAAAAAAAAAAAAAAAAAAAAAATTCAGGTGGACATGGTGCCATCTACCTATACTCCCAGCTGTGTGGGAGGCCAACACAGAAGGATCTTGGTCCCAGGAGTTCAACAGTGAGATACTGTCCCTAAAAACAAACTAAAAAAATAAGAAATCCAATGTATTCTTTATTGATTATACAAAAAAGCTTCTAGCTTAGTATGTTTCAGTACTGAGCTGATGCTAAAGGTAGTCAACAGAGACTTGGGGCAGCCTGTATCTAACCTGTGATACAAGTCAATGATGGAAACATCAATGCCACTGTCATCTGACTGCACTGACACAGTATTTCACATTTACCTCTTTCTGTTCTGGAGGGCTGCTCTGTGGTCGGGGACATGCTGTTGTCACACCATTCAGTTCATCAAACCCAGGAACTTGGAACTCAGAAGCTGAACACAGGAGCTTGTTGACAGCTGGTTCTGTTACTAAGCAAGGCTTTGGTACCAAGGTAGGGAATGCAGGCTCCAGTCTAGGGTCATGGAGAAAAGGGAAGACAACATGAGAAGGCTTTGCTTTCTACCTGTAGCACATTCATCTGTTTACCATATGGACTAGAGGCAAAGATGTCTTTTATTTCTAGGAAGGGTATCTTGAATCAACCTGTTTACTAGTCATTTCCTTTTTTTTGGGGGGTGGGGTTTAGTAATTTCTGGATATATCCTGGGTCCATATATGTTAAAAATTATAAGAATGTAGTCATTTCATTTCATTGATATAAAGAAGTTTTTTTCTTTTGCAGAACTGGGGATTGAACTCGGGCCGTTGCGCTTGCCGGGGAAGCACTTATTCTACTGAGTCATCTCCCCAGCCCAATATAAAGAAGTTTTATAAGGAAAAATGCAAAAATGAACAAGTTTTGAAGGAAGTGGATGTTTGGTGAACTGAACAAATGAACAGTGCTCAGATGACTAAAGCTCAGTAAGTGGCAAGACATGAATTTTTTTTTTAAATTTTGTGCAGAATCTCACTAGGCAGCTTGGACTCATAGTGATCTTCCTGTTTTCAACCTCCCCAGTGCTGGTTTACAGGCATGCACCACCATACCCACACTAAGACATAAAATAGTTTAACAGTGGTGTTCTAGTACAAAAAACTAATACTTTTCAAATGACTACATCTCTAGTCCCTACTTGTAATACCACAAGATAGCCAGGGCCGTAAGCCAGCTTAGTGGACTAAGCACCTGCTTAGGCAAGTGCAGGGACCAGGGTTTGATCCCTGGTACTGCAAGCTGCACCAGCCCCACCCCTGGGCATGCTGAGCTGGCAACCAAGTCTGGGCGTGGTGCCACATGCCTGTAATCCCAGGGCTGGGGAGGTTAAAAACAGGAGGATCACTATGAGTCTGAGCTGCGTGGTGAGACCCTGTACCAGATACATAAACTAAAACAAACAAACCACCATATCTAATCCTCAGAGATGTGAGCAATACAGATCAGGTTTAGAGGGACAGAAAGCCAGAGCTGTGCAAGCCCACCCACACCATCTGTGAACACCAGAGCATGCCCTTGTGCTCTTAACACCCACCCCCTTTGAGCCCTCCTGTGCCCAGGGCTTACCTTATCTGACCGCCACTGCTTCTATATGTAACTTCCAAGCCCGGAAGAGGCACATATGGTAACAAGGTGTGGCTAAGGGAAAGCAAAAGTATAAAAGCAGTTGTTTGGGTTTTTTTTTTGTGGTGTTAGGGACTGAACCCAACAAAAGCAGTTATGATGGTGAGATGACAGGAAAGGTTCCGATGCTACTCTGGGTATTATTAGCACATGATACAGAATTCCAGAAAGGATGAGAACCTCCTAACTATGGGACATATGCTTATGTGTCCATCACTAGAATGGAAGTATGCTATCAGGAAGATTATTTCTTAATTGTTACTAGTTTTTTGAGACAGAGTCTCAATACAGAGTGTAGGCTGGCCTTGAAGTCACAGCAATCTTCCTGTCCCAGCCTCCTGAGTGCTGGGGATTGTAAGTGTGTGCCACCATGCCTGGATGATTACTTCCTAATTTAAATGAAAAGAGATGCGAGAGAGAAATAAGACAGTAAGAAAAAAGATGAGGCCTTATGCCATTTAATAAAGTTGCTGAATATGTACACTGAAGTTTTTTTTTTTTTTTTTTTTTTTTTGTGGTACTAGAGATCGAACTTAGGACCTTGTTCTTGCCAGGCAGGTACTTATGCCACTAAGCTATCTCCCCAACCACTTGAAGACCTTAAATTAAAAAGACCCTTACATCATCAGCAGCATATTATTATTATTATTATTTTTTTTTTTTTTGCGGTACCGGGGATTGAACTCAGGACCCTGTGCTTGCCAGGCAAGCACTTAGTCTACTGAGCTATCTCCCCGGCCTATTATTGGTTTTTTTGAGACAGGGTCTTACTATGTAATTTCTGCTCGTAGCAAATCTGCTTCTGCCTCAGCTTCTTAAGTGAGGGGATTATAGGTGTATGTCACCATATCTGATTAGGCTTTGCATTATTGAACACTGTATTGTTTTGAAGTAAAAATCGCCATTTTATATAATCTCACAAAATACTGTGCAGAAACATTTTCTTTAAAGCCAAACTGTACATAAAAATAGCTATCTAGATTAAAACTGTTGAGTCAATTCCTTAGAAAAAAGAGCCAATTCCTTTATAATTAAATTTCATATCCATAGCTGAAACAAGAGTACTAATCACCTATATATGAGCTCATACACAATTTTATTGAGATTTTTGGTTTTTCAAGGTAAAACCAGCATTATATTCTATATGGCACAGGATTCCAAAGAATTTTTTGTTTTGTTTTGTTGTCTTTTTGAGACTATGTAGTTCAGCCTGGCCCTGAATTCACTTTACTTTATTTTTTTTGGCGGAACCAGGGATTGAACTCAGGCCCTTGTGCTTGTCAGGGAAGCGCTTATTCCACTGAGCCATCTCCCTGGCCCCCTGAATTCACTTTGTAGTCCAGGTTGGCCTTGCATTTGCAGTGGTCCTTCTGCCTCAGCTGCCACAATGTTCAGGTTACAGGTATGTTACCACACCTTGCTCCACAGAATGTAACAGCTAAGACAAAGAGATGATTTGGCTTGAACAATGTCTAGTACCAACTCAGGTTTCCCTGAAGATACACTGACAAAAGTCAATATTGACAAAACTCATCTGAGGCATAATGGAATACTGCATAAAAAGCTGACCAAATCAGGAGATCTTGGTCTTAGCATCTAGTGCAGTGGAAAACCCTACCAGCTTCCACAGCTGTCATGAGACTCCATCTTAGCACTGATAAATAACACACAAAAGATGCCTTTCCCACCTGCATTATATAGAGTGCTGAAGAATAAGGTTTAAAAGAAAAAATCTCACAGAAATATAATTTAAGCTGGGCATAGTGGAATACATCTGTAATCCCAGTAATTAGGAGGCTGAGGTAAGAGGATTGTTTTGAGTTTGAGTCCAGCCTAGCCTACATAGTGAATTCAAAGTTAGCCTGGATAACACAGCAAGACCCTGTGTCACCAAAAAAAAATCTTTATCAATTCTGTCAGAGTTCAGGCATTCTTAGAGCCATTCTTAAAGTTAAACACCAGCCCTCAGTAGTCTAGTTGACTTAAACAAAATCAAATGCAAAGCTAGATATAAGAAAGAAGGCATAGAGAAACCTCAGAAATAGAAAACACAAATGAGTAGGAATCCAGAAGAGGAGGAATAAGGGTAAAGGTAATACTTTCACAGGGTAAAATGAGTAACTTCCTGAGCAACAGGCTCAGGAATAAATAAATTTAAAGAAAAAACACAGTCTAAAACTGTGTTAGAAACTGCGAAGAGTAATTATGAGACTTAGAGGCAGATCCAACAAAAACCAGGTAATAAGATCACTATACCATCACTGAAAACATTGATTCAGGGGTGCCGGGGATATAGCTCAGTAGCATAAGTGCCTGCCTGGCAAGTGCAAGGTCCCGAGTTCGATCCCTGGTACCACTAAATAAATAAATAAATAAAAATTTAAAAAAAATAGTGATTCATTCTAATGTAATTTATGACAGCATTATAAGAAGTGATTATTTTTCTGTTTTCTAAAGGCCAAGTACTTATGATAGTAATTTATCTTTCCATTTCAATCAGCAACGCTTAGAGTTGTACAGTGTTTTTTCCAAATCCTTTTATTATTTAGCTCTGCTAAAACACTCAGGCACCTGTACAACACACACCCCTTGCCTCATACTGGGGATTGAATCCAGAGTTTTTGTTACATACCCAGTCCTTGTTTTAACTTTTTAAAGACTGGATCATGCTACATTGCAAAATTGTCCAGCTGGATTTGTACTTATGATTCTCTTGCCTTGGTCCTCCAAAGTGCTGAGATTACCGGTGTGCATATCTATGCCTGCCTACCAGCAGCTTTGTAAAAAAAAAATTTTTTTTTAATTTTATTTTACTTATTTGATACAGGATCTCGCTATGCAGCTCAGAATTATAGTGATTCTCCTGTTTCAGCCTCCCCAGTGCTAGGATTACAGGCGTGTGCCACCATGTCCAGTTTTGGGGCTGCGCAGTACACGGTACCAGGGATCAAACCCGGGTCCTTGAACTTGCCAGGCAGGTGCTTAGACCACTGAGCTATCTCACCAGGCCCCAGCAGCTTTTCTTCTTTTTTTTTTTTTTTTCTTTTTTTTTTTTTTTTTTTTTTTTTTTTTTTTTTTTTTAATTTATTTATTTTTTTTTTGCAGAACTGGGTATTGAACTCAGGACCTTGCGCTTGCCAGGGAAGCACTTATTCTACTGAGCCATCTCCCCAGCCCCTCCAGCAGCTTTTCAATGACACAGAATGACTTTGTACAAGAAGCTGCCCAGATGTGCAAAAAACAAACTAAAACCATGCCAAGCCCCTTTTCAGGGTATTGTGGAATATTAAGTTTTGTTAGTTTAATTTTTCAACTATAGTAAGGGCAAATAAAAAAAACTACAAAGTTAAAAAAACCAAACCTACAAAGTTTCTGTTCATATAAAGCATTACAACTAGGAAGATTTACTTACTTCTGAAAGCTGATTCTTATGGGTTGTTTCTCTCTTTGGTGTTGGGCCTGAAGCTAGGGCCTTGTACATGCAAAGTACACACTCTATGACAAACTATAACCCCAGCCTCCTCCCCCCAAAAGGTTAAGAGGCATAGATCTTCTTGTTATTATTTTTAATCAGGGTCTCATTAGCTAGTATTTCAGGCTGACTTTGAACTCAGTGATCCTGACTGGTGGGATTATAGGAGTGCACCATCACATCCTGCTAAGATGGATAGTTTTAACTCAAAAATTCAAAGTCTGTTATTTTCTTTCTTTTTTTAAAAATGTATTTGGTACAGGGCCTTACTACGTAGCTCAGACTCATAGTGATCCTCCTATTTTCAGCCTCCCCAGCACTAGGATTAAAGGCATGTATCATCACACCCGGTCTTCACGGCTGGCTCAGTGCACCTTGGGGCAGGGCTGGCAAGGCATGTGGTGCTGGGGAATCGAACCCGGTCCCTGTGCTTGCCTAAGCAGGCACTTAGTCCACTGAGCTATCTCACTGGCCCTGTTCTGTTATTTTCAAGTAGCAGGTATAATGATACTGGTGCAATTTTTTTTTTCCAGTTATCTCAGTTATCAAGCAATACGAAGTCCTGCCTACTTTACTTTATATGCCATAAACACTAGAACTAAAACATGAAAATGCCAAATTCTTTTAATCTTGAAGGGCTTTTTTTTTTTTTAATTAGCATGCTTATGATACAAAATGAATATGTTCATTGCGGGGGGCTAATACATATATGCACCTTAGTCCTTTTTAGTTTCCCTTCCCCTACTGAAATCCCATTTCTATTTGCAAAATGTCTACCTTCCAGTTTATTTTGCTCTTCAAATTATTTATAATGCTGGGTATGGTGGTGCACACCTGCAATCCCAGCATTCAGGGGGCTGAGGCAGCAGGATTGCTGTGAGTTTTGAGACAGGCCTGGGGTACATAGCAAGACCCTGTCACAAAAAAACCCTAAATAAAAAATTCATACTTTTGAGTTTCTCATATAAGAGAAATCATGTGGTATTTAACCTTCTGTGTCTGGCTTATTTCACTTAGCATTATGGTTTTAAGATACATCCATTTTTCTACAAATGACTGAAAATTTATCTGTTTTTATGGCTTAGTACAAGACACCACTACGTATATGAACAGAATCACATTTTCTTTACTCATCTGCTGAACGGCATTTAGCTCATTTCCAATGTTTAGCTATTGTGAATTATGCTGCTATAAACAAGTATATGTGCATATCACTGTAATATCATGTCTTTAACACTTGGGAAAGTATGCAGAGGAGTACAGTGCAATCAAATGGAGTATTTTTAGTATTTTGAGGAATCACCACAATAATTTACACAAGTGTTCATATTAGTTTACATTTCCACCTTTTTCCCTACAACCTTGCCAGCATTTGTTGTTGACTGTTATGGTAGCCATTCTTTCTGGAGTAAGATGAGGAAAAAAAAAAATCACTGGAGTAATATGGAAACTTAGTTTTATTTGTACTTCTCAAATGCAAGTGCCAATTTTTTTTTCATAATTTTATTGACAAACATAGCAATGAGACAGTTTCAAATCAAATCGTTGGGAACAAGTGCCAATTTTTGAAGCCTCTATATTGCAGGTAAAATTTATTCATTTGCTAAAAAAGTGTATATCCTATGAAGTATCCTTTGCACACCAAACACTGAGTTAGGTGCTACTCTATAGTGACCTGTGAAATGGACATCATTATAAGCCATATTGACACTATTTTCTTGTTGAGTTATTTATTACCAAGGTCGAGGCAAAAGGATAAAGGCAGAGATTCAAAAGTTTCAATAGTTTGTTGGGGCATATTTTTTAATCACAGCTACTCCAAACATTCAGGCAGGTGGATCACAAATTTGACACCACAGTGGCTAACTTAGTGACATTCTATTTTAAAATAAAAAAAAAAAAATGGGCAGTGCAATAGCACTTGCAGAGTGTTTGTGAGGTTCTGGGTTCAATTCCCAGGCCTGCAAGGAAAAAAAAAAGATTTGAATAAAGTGGGGGAAAAATGATTTAGCAGAAAAATATGAGCATCTACACTTAAGAATCACTACTCCATTTTCTCAGAAGATATCTGGCAATATAAATAACAAGTGCAGATACAAAGATGATTCTAAAGAGCCTCATTTCCAATGGTGCTCTCTTCTCTCCCCAGTGTCAAGAAGGAAACATGCAAAGAACAGAGGGCAAATTTTACCTGCTTGTGGTACCCAGACTTGCTGGCTGCTTGCTATGAATGGAATGAAGAGCAGAGATTTCGAAGGAGCAGGAGGCAGGCCCGTGTTGGCTCCAAATAGATAGCACTCTGCCCACTGAGTAGGGCAGAGAACAGAAGATCTTGTTTGCTATGGAAGCTGGAGACCTTAACCCTTTTAAGCCTTGTGTAAACTGGGCCATAAAGAACCTCTGCATGGTTGGCATGTGACTGGAGAAGCTCCGTTTCTTCGTCCAGATTCGGTAACATCCTGGAGAACAAAGTGCTAGAAGTGTGTGAAGGCCAAGGACAGAGCAGTTTGCTCTGGTCGGGACTATGGAGGTGCTTCCACAGTCTTGGAGAGGAGCTGGAGTCTGTTGAGGAGCCTGAGTGTATGCCTGACTATGGAGGCCAGTGTCTTCCCTGAATGTGGCCATCCCAGGGCAACCATGGGACAAAAAGAAAGAAAAAGTCCACTTGGGTGGTTGAGACGGGCACTGGGAGGCCTCTTCTAAGGCAAGCCTTGCTGGCGCACAGTGCTCAGGAAATGTCCTTGAGAACTCAGTCACGCAATTAGAGGCTAAGTCCACATGAAAGGAAAGTGGGAAGATTTCAGAACCAAAAAGCAGTGATGGCATCTTGTTGCTCAAATCTACGAAGCTCATCTTGATGGCTTCGAAAGAATAAAGTGCCAAGGGCTTACTGTTAGGCCTCTTATTCCACCCACTAGCTGCCAAATATGGATCCAGCTGCATGGCATTATATGAAAACCCATCCAGGAGCCTTTTATATCTGAGACGCTTGCAGCTTTTGGCCACTGGAAGAAGTGCAGAGGAACATTGCCGATATCGGAGTTTCTGGGTTTTTGCGGCTGGAGCTAGTTTGGAGGCAAGGACAGACAGCTTGCTTAATAAGGCTGATTCTTTGGTAGATTTCCTAAAATTCAGGTTCCTCAAAGGATGGCATGAAGTAGTCCTCTGCTTTGGTGTGTGGCTAAGCAAGCTCCCGCATGATACTGTTTGGGGTTCCAATGGTGTGAGCACAGATGCAGATGCAGCACATGAGAGGAGAAGTCTTTGTGCTTTTGTGGGGATGGTATTAGAGGAACCCTTCCCAAAGGAAGAGCTTCTGATTTTACTTAATTTCCTCCCCATGCTGACTGGCTCCTGACAGGGAACTCTCTTACATGTTCGATGGGGCTGCTTTTTTAAGGGAGGCATTCCCTTCTGATGGTAAGTATTCACAAAGGCACCACATACTGGATCACACCCAGTAGAACTGGGGTCTTGTGCTTTCCTAGGAGCACCAGGGAGGCAAGGAACTGTGCACAACTCAATGTCCTTCTTTAACGGATGACAAACACTTTCCTCCTTTGCATCTTCCATCCTCTGAAATGGTTCAGCAATATTGCCGTTGGCTGGCTTTGCTAGGGTAATTTCTTTCATCACTGCGGACTCATATTTATCCGCCTTTGTTTGGAACTTAGTTTGCACTTCACTTGACAACATATTAGATGGTCTGTATTGTTCCAATATCTGGCATCCTTTTTGACACATGTGTTCCTCTTTCTTCAACAATATACAGTTCAAAATGTTCTGGCTTTGTAGTTTTTCAGGATCACCATGCATCCTCTGGCATTTCAAGTGGGCCTGAGAAGTCCTGCTCAAATGGTAACTCTTGCTTCTTTTTCTGGCAATCATCTCCTCAGGTTCTTCTTTAACAGTTAAATGATCTAGAAGTCCATTCTGAGGTCCTTCAATTTCTTCAATTGCTTTAATTGCTGTTTCCATTATCAAAGGCAAATGTTTATCAGTAGAATTCTCATGAGGGTGGCAAGCTTTGCAAACATTCTTTTTCACACCGATGTACCCTTCACTAGGGTTATTCATATCCCTAGAAGGTACTTCTGTCTTCATCTTAGACAGGTCTGTGCAGTTCTTTACATTTTCACAAGGCATTTCACCACCCTTTGGGTTAGACAGAGTGTTCAGGTCAGTTTCTGAATTTTCTTGAGAAGACAAACACAAAGGCGTTATCTCAATGGATTTAAGTGTTCCTGAGGGAACAGAGTTCTCATCTTGACATCTAGAAGACACTGAGTCCTCTGAGGATATTTCAAAGGTTTGTTCCTTCTCAGAATTTATCTCTTCTAGTTTTGATCCTTCCGTCATTCCTTGTGTTCCTCTCAGATACGTGCCTTTACCTTGATGTTCATGATGAGTATAATCTAAAGAGACATTTACTTTGTCTATTATTTTTGTATTTGGTTCATGATCTGCAACAGACTCCATCTCTTGAGCACAAGAGTCTAGACATTTTACCATTTCACAGTCTTTTAAAGATTTGTACACTTTCTCTTCACTTGGTTTTATTTCAAGAAATTCCACTACAGAACTAGCAGAATTTGAGAGATCCAAGTCTTGATTTGTTTTTCCTATAAATCCAGCATTTAGTTCATCTCTCTGAGCTGAGGTACTCCTTAACGTTTTGTGTAATGGCAGTCTATCTTTCCATGCACCACAATCAAGTGTACTAGATACTACTTTCACACCTAGCACATTTTCTGTAGGCTTTTTAGTATGGTCTGCACAGATAGTGTTTATCCTATCTGCGAACTCTTCAGAACTAGAAATATCTTCAACAGCTCCTGTGGAATCACCTTCCTTTGGACCACCATAAGACACTATGTTATTACTGCTTGAGCTGACTTCTAAGTCCTTTCCATTGTGTATTACCTCTCCTTTATGTTCTGTGAAGGTCTTTGTCTGGTCACTATCTCCTGTCTCCTTACCTAGTTTATCACAACTTCTACATTGATCTAGTCTGTTTTGGTTACTCTGGCAGTCAAGGACTTCATTTGCCTTCTGATCAAGAGTTTCAACTGCTTGGTTTATGTTTTTAAAACCGGAGAACATAAAAGGAGATGTTTCTGAACTTGGAATGTTTGCAAATTGGTTTAGTTTTTGTGTAGAATAATCAGAGATGTTATATTTACAAAACATAGTTTCTTTGGGTACATCCAGATCCTTTCTATCTAGCCCTTTCTCACTGAATTCAATGTGACCAGTGATGTAAGTGGCTATATTTGAAGTTCCACTGTCTGACACAACAGTTCTCATATCATTTCTTGTCATGCATTTTGTATAGCTGCCTTCAATTTTTCTCCCATCAAGTTTGCTCTCTTGTGATATACAGCTACTTTTTATAAACTCTCCTGTTACTTGGAAGTGGTGATCACTATGCTGAGATGCATTTTCACATTTTATTCCTGAAGAATCACTGACTTTCAGAACGATTTTGCTGGGCCCCAAAGCAATACAGGCAGAACACGAGTTTTCTCCTACTGAATTTTTTCTTACACAGTGACAGCTGGAGATATCCTGAGATTGAACATTTTCACATTCTGTGACTGAGATTTCTTTAGGAGAGTCAACTGATTCTTTTGCACTTGAGAGGAAACTGGAATGCAGATCTATTCCTGAATCAGTCATTTCTTGTTTTCTTTCTAGGCTTCCTGGTGTGGTGTTGAAAGTGGGACTGTTGGAAGAGGTACCACAAGCTGTATCTCCTACTGGAGGGATGTCTTTTACTTGTGTCTCACTGGGAATGGTTCGGTTATCAGCAGTGACATCTGCTCCATTTCCTAATGGAGGATGTTGGCTCTGCTGGGCATTTTTGCTTGCTGCTAAAGGCATTTCTCTGTTTATATGTAATAGGGAATCAGTTGGCAACTTCACGTGATCTTGAGAATTAAGGGACACTTGATTTAAAACACATTCACATTCTATGTTTACAATCAGTTCATTGGTATGAGAAAGTTTACTCATCTCATGGGCAATTCTCTGTCCATCTAAACATGGAATATTATGTGAGGTCTCTACAGCTTTTCCTGACACAGATCTACAATCCAATTCCGGAGATGGTGGTAACTGGACAGTATCTTTCTCGGATTTTGATACTTCTTTAGGCACAGAACTTATCTGATCTTCTGGTATTAAACTAACAAGTTTTCTTGCAGAGAGAAAATCATTACATGATGTTTCACTTAACTGAGTATCACCTTCCAGATTTCTCTGTAAGCTGACTAAGGAGGGAGAATCTTTATTGTAAATCTCATTTAATGTACGGGGCTGTAAAGTGTTTGTCTGTTCTGGCTCTTCAATCTGCACCGAGGAAAAGCTGCTTTCTTCAGGGTGTCCACCTTGATGGCTCACATTAGTAACAGTTTCTTTATGGTGCTCAGAGTCTGTCAACTTACCTTGTGTATCTAATGTGATTTTCAAATCATCTTTTTTAAACATTATTCCCATGGCTTCAGTTAAAAAATGGGACATTAAAGAACTAGAGCTCTCTGTATGGTTATTGCCTTGAATGCAACAGTTATGATGGACATTTCCTTTTGAAGAATCAACAGTTCCTGCTTCATCAGAATAATCACTGGAATCCTTTTTTAATTGTCTGGCATTAATAAAAAAGAGTTCTGTTCTTTCACTCCTGGAATTCAAAGACTGTTCTTCATTTTCTTCTCCAGAAGCCAAGTTCTTACTTAGATCATCCTTATTAAAACAGGAATTGTCTGTCTTTTCTTCTGATTTCTTCAGCAAACCACTTTCAAAAGTACACAAGGATGTTGTTCTAGATTCTGGACCAGGCAAACCTGGTATGAGATGTAAGATTTCAGAATTTTCCTCTAAGGGTTTCCTGGCATGTACATTTCTGGTGGCTGTGGAACTGTCAAATGTGGAACTGTGTTTTTCATTATAATGGCCAAGAAACTGTTGGTGATTGTCATCTGCCGCACAGTCCAGGTTTAGTTCACAAAACTCTTCTTTTCCATTGTCCATTTTAGAAATGGCACTGTTCCCTGGTAATAATGACAACCAAGGACAAGTTTGTAATTCTCCACATTCTTTTTCTTTAGGAGTTGCTTTTGTTACTCCAGGATCCATAAAATTTAAAGGCTCTATAGAAACTAATGTTCTGGTTTCTGAAATCTTGCCACTGCTCGTAATTTCTTCTACTTCTGGGTGTTCACTGGACCCAGCTAAGAGATCTTTACTCACATTTCCATTCTTGGGTCCTTCATTATTATTATCCATCTTAGTCCCATTGACCTTCATACCTTGAACATCTTCAGGGGATGATGGTAGAATTTCAGTTGCAAACTGTATATTTCCTTCTACACAAAAGAAATAAATCCAGATCAGTAATCATAAAAAAAAATTTCTCTATCATGAATTTTATCATGCAACCAATGGCATCAACAAAAAAGATCTGACAGAAAAAGAATCAGAGACTCCAAAAGCTGGCAGAGTAGAGGTAACCTGCATTCATAAGCCACTCTAAAATAATCATCCAAACCATCAGGCACATAGCTCTGAGAGGAGACAGAGGAACTATGGGAAAGTGTTGGACTACAATTTGAATGAGCTAGCAACCAGGTGAAACCCAGAAATACTGGTATTTAGAAAACTAAGTAAAGTAACAAAATAATAAACACTAACCTTGAATGAATGGTAGCTCAACGGGAGAGGGGAAATTCACTCCCCTTCATGGTAAAAGAAAAATCTCACTACATTGTTGTGATTACTGATCTTATATTGGACAGAGACATAGCCTTTAAGAGAAATGAGTTCAGCCAATGAGAAGGGGCAGGAATGATAGTTTTCAGCATTTCTGTACAAATTTAGATAAGGATAGGCTGGAAAGTCATCTTAAAACACCCTCCTCCCTAGTCGAACAAGCAGCAGATAAGACTCAGAATTAGGTGGGAAGCTGTCTTAGGTAACTTCCTGTTTCAGTAGGTGGTGTGGGAGAACATAAAACCCACATTTTTTTTATCTTCAGGATGCCAACAGTCACTTTGTTCCAAAGAGGCAATGGGTCCAACCCTAGCAGATTGGGCCCAGGAGGATGGTGATGTAAAACAGAAAAATTTAAATCATGGGCTTGAGGAAATGCCCCAGTAGTCTGCTTGAGGAGACTGAACTCTAGAATGGAAAAGTCTTAGAGGGGTAACAGCTGCTATGAGGCAACAAACAAAATCAGTCAGGTGGAGGAAAATGCCAGAAAGAGAAAGAGCTAGAAATAGACAAGAGGGAACAGACAGGAAAAGCCCTCTGCCACATGAGGTTTTGTAGTGGGAGGGGTTCTAAGTCTAGGAATACCAAAGACCAATAGAAAGGAGAGCACTCTGGCTTCTCACCTTAGCACAGATCCTACCTGCATGTTCAAACCCCTCTATTCTGTTGGAAGGCATTGAGAATAAACATAGCAAAGTACAGACATTGACAAACTATGCCTCCAAGACCACATCTGATAAAAAGGCTTTGGCCCATAGTCAGCCCTGTCCATAGACCACACCAGTAGGAGAGTTGGTGGACAGCTTGCCTTTTTCCAGTGCCATCATTAGATACAAAGTATATTGGGTTGGTAGGCATTCTGTCTCACCAAGGCAGATCTGCACAAATACTTGTATATACAAGCACAGAAGGGCAAAGCTCAGTCTCTAGACTGTCCTAAATGGCTTTTTCTATTTGAACAGATGGAAAAAGGGAATTGTGAACAAGAAAAGATGTTCTCACACACACACACACACACACACAGCTCCCTTATCAGGCAGTGTCCAAGAGGAAGGCAAGGAGGAAATAACTGACTCCAGAATGAATGCCCTAACATGAGAAAGACTATCAGACCTTGCTCTGTGTGCATGTATGTTAATTTTTGCTTTTACTTCCACAAGGTCTTACCTTTTTTTTTGTCATCCCCCCCTACAACAAAGCTTGTTTCTTTTTTAAAATTAATTTTATTGAGAAACAAACAATAGTGAGACAGTTTTAAAACAGGTTAGTACAACAGTTACAGTAATTAATACATTGCATATTGTTGTCTTTGTAGTATTCATAGTACAAGATGCAGACATGATATCTTGTCCAAACCTTATTAGTACAAATCTTTCTTCTCAATAAATTAAGAGAAAGTAGTTGTATATCTATGCTAACTATTTTGTATGTACAAATACAGAATAGTCCTTCCTTTGTACCCCCTTTTTTGTTTAGTTTTGTTAGAGATGGGTATTCCATTGCCATTTAAATATTGTAGGTGCGTGAATTCAGCAACATAATCCAATATAATCCAGTAGTCCATAATAGTAGTGGGTTATCTGTAGGGTTGGCAATGTCAGAAGTTTTTTTTTTTTTTTTTTTTTTATTGAGAAACAAATAGCAATAAGACAATTTCAAAACTGATTAATAGGACAGTTTCAATAATTAATACACTGTACATTGTTATCTTCTTAGTGGTTACCCACAGTACAAGATGCAGATATCCTGTCCAAATACTATTAGTACAAATCTTTCTTCTCATTGAATTAAGTGAAAGTAGCTGTGTATCTATCCTAACTATTCTGCATATACAGATACAAAATGGTCCTTCCTTTGTATCCCCCTTTTTTTTGTTTAGTCCTGTCAGAAATGGGTATTCCATTGGCATCTAAATACTATAGGTGCGTGAATTCAGCAAAACAATCCAACACAGGGGCTGGGGAGATGGCTCAGCGGAATAAGCGCTTCCCTGGCAAGCGCAAGGGACTGAGTTCAATCCCTTGTTCCGCCCCCCCCCCCACCAAAAGAAAAAAGAATCCAACATAGTCCAGAAGTCCACAATAGTAGTGGGTTAGCCACAGAAGTTGTTGACTTGAGCCTTTCACAGCTTAGCATATTAATATGGCTTTACTTTATATACCTTGTTTTTATACTTTTCTGCTGGATAGTTAAGAACAAGATAAAGCAAAACCTATATAACAAGAAATGTAACTTTTGTATCTAATAAGGTCAGTCAAGTACCCTCAGGATTTATCCTGTAACCCTGTACCGCAGGTTGCAGATCCTTTGTCAGTGTCAGCCATGTGGATGAGTCACGACCATTGAAGTTTGTTTTTTAGGGTTCTTAAACTTTGTGTTTGTACTAGTTCATTAAATGGATTCAAGTTTCCTATATATTCCTGCATTTCCCATCTATCGCCCCTTGTTTGTTTGTTCTTTCTTCCCCATCTCATGCCCTCTCTCATCTCCCTTCTCTACCCTTCCTTTGCTTGTATACAAATATTATCATTCAAGTCTATTTTTGCTCTAGTCTATTCTACATTATTTTCCTTTTCTTTTCCTAGCTCAATAAAATAGAGAACTTAAAAAAATTTTTAAATGATATGTTGATAGCTGATATATGGTTGGCTTTTTTTTTTTTTTTGCAGAACCGGGGACTGAACTTAAGCCCTTGTGCTTGCCAGGAAAGAGCTTATTCTACTGAGCTATCTCCCCAGCCCAGGAAATGAAATTCTGAGTCAGTCTAAAAGCTCAATTAGAAGTCTTGGGCAGTAGGCAAGAAGAATCAGAAGAAAGATAATCAGGACTTGAATACAAGATCGATGTATCAGAATACCTAGATGGCAATAATAATAAAAAAGAATAGTAGCAAAAAGTTTATACAAGAACTCATAGGGGCTAGGGATATAGCTCAGCAGTGCAGTTCCAGCCTGAGAAGCTCAAAGTCTCGAGTTCAATTCCTGGTACTCCTCCACATACACACCAAAAAGAGCTTATAAACAAAAGAATAAATATAATACTCTGGTCATAGCCCATCTGGGGCAACTTAGCAACTTAATAAGACTCTGTCTCAAAATAAAAGAAGGCTGATGATATGACTCAGTGTTAAGGTAAAAAATTAAGACCCAACTATATGGTGCCTACAAGAAACACACCTCACCTGCAAAGATATACATAAAATTAAAGTGAAAGTATGGGAAATGATTCTCCAAGCACCTGGAGCCCCAAATCAAGCAGAGTAGCTATACTTATATCTGATAAGGCAGACTTCGAAGTAAAATTAGAAGAGACAAAGGCCACCACATACTGGTAAAAGCAATACCCCCAAGAAAAAATATAAATTGTAAATATATTGAATATACCAAATGTTAGTGCATCTAATTTTATAAAACACACTTCTGGAACACACTTCTGGGCTGGCAAGTTAGCTCAGTGGACGAAAGCACCTGTTTTGGTAAGCGCAGGGACTGGGGTTCAATCCTGGTACCACATGCTGCACCGCCCCTGCCCCTAGGGCACGCTGAGCTGGCCAATGAGTCTGGGCATGGTGGCACAGGCCTATAATCCTAGTGCTGGGAAGGCTGAAAACAGGAGGGTCACTATGAGTCCCAGCTGCATATTGAGACCCTGTACCAAATACATAAATGTAGGGGCCGGGGAGAAGGCTCAGTGGAATAAGCGCTTCCCTGGCAAGCGCAAGGGCCTGAGTTCAATCCCTGGTTCCGCAAAAACCAACCAACCAACCAACCAAACAACCAAGCAAACAAACAAACAAGCAAAATACATAAATGAAAAAAACAAACAAACACACTCCTTTATATAAAAATTCAGGCATCCAAATACATAGCAGGTGACTTCAGTGCTCTGCTCTCACAAATGAATAATACTACTAGACCCCCCCCCAAAAAAACCAAAGCAAAAAAATTATATCACACTATAGAGTAAATGGAGTTTGAATAAATGCATAGTGTTCCACATAACAGTAGAACACGTATGCATTCTCTTTAGCAGCCAACTGAACTTTCTGCAAAAAAGATATTTTAGGCAAGCCAATAAATACAAAATAACTGAAATAATTACAAATAATCCTATTAGATAATGGAATGAAGCTAGATATTAATAGCAAAAGAAACCACAGAACTACACAAAACTCAGGAGATTAAATAATATATAGGGCTGAAAGATAGCTAAGTGGTCTAAGCCCCTGCCTGGCAAGTGCAAGGACCTGGGTTTGATCCCCAGTACCTCATGCCATGCTGGCTCCACCCTGGACACACCAAGCCAGCCACCAAAACCAGGCTTGGTGGCGCATGCCTGTAATCCCAGGACTAGGGAGGCTGAGACAGGAGGATCACTATGAGTCTGAGCTGCAGAGTGAGACCCTGTACCAAATAAATAAATAAATAAATAAATGATTAAAATGGATAAATAAATTAAACATATTTAAGACAAAGTCTTGCTATGTGGTTGAGGTTGGTCTCAAACTTGTGAATCTCCTGCTTCAGCCTCCCAAGTGCTGGGATTACAGGTATGCACCAAAATACCCAGCTTAACAATACTCGTTTAAATAATCAGT